AAGATATATGGCTCATTTAAAAGCTCAGGATAAGGCAAATTATTTTTATTAATGGTTTAAGTACAGAAAGCATAACACACATATTCTTAAAATTGCATAACAAAATAAAGGGGCAAATTCGTCAAAATTTGGCCTACAGACTAAGGGATAAGTTGATAAAGACTACAGTCACGCCTCAATAGTAAAGTCTCCGGGACGGTGGGGGGGGGGGGGGGGTTTATTATATCAAAATAAAATTTAATATAGTAAAGTGCATTTATAATTAGTATAAATTTTACTATATCGCAACCGGCCAATCTTATAGTATGGTATAACTAGTTTTAATTGTCGAAATTCTTAAATATGTCAATTTCATGTACTTTGTAAATGAACGCGGTTATTACTATTATGATATAATATAAACAAACCTATGTATGCAACATACGCCTATAAAAATTAATCATGTCTGGCTCAAATTACACGTACATATATTATTTGGGGACGTTGGCGCAAAAATCACACATGTAAATCCGGGGTTTACATAGTGACGCCAATTCATATAACATATATACCTTGCACAAAGTGTGTACAACCTTACTTTGCTAATAATAGTAAGAATGCCCATGCAAAGGCTTGATCGATTAGAATGTTCAATTGATGTCATATATAAACGATCTACTTGACCATTTTCTTTGGCAATCGTTTTAAAAACCAACAAAAGTTAAACTTGCGAAAATTTTAAGTTTAACAATATTGACAGTCGGTTTACGCACGCCTAACAGTAATATAAAAAACACATCAAACTATCTATTTTCAGACTCTAAGCTCTCCTGTTTTACTCTAACATGGCGCAACCTCCTAAACCACTATCAAAAGATTGTACTAATCACGAACCGTTTCAAATAACGGCAACGCACCCATTGACTGATGTACCTGTAAACTTTGGTTATGTTGCGTATCCCTCTAACGTTTTTTCCAATAATTTAACTCAAAACGTAGCAGCTTATCCGACTCATCCGCAGGTGCCGGTTGTTTCTGCCTATAACAATCTTAACGCCAGGGGAGCGGTTAATCCTACACTGAGACCACCATACGTAATTGCAACAAGAAGAGGTGGATGCCAATGTAATTGGAAAATTTCTGTCACAGCAGTGGCTTTTCTGTCGATGTTGATCGGAAGTATATTGTTAGGCGTTGGGCTATCAAACTGCGCTGACTTTTGTTACTATGACTTGTATGTTACTGGTGGTACACTCCTGGCTATAGGAACTGTCATGGCTATATGCATCTTAGTTGCATTTTTGGTTCGTTGTGGTCGGGTAACTACCACAACTATGCAACACTATTAACATAAAAAATTGTAAATTTTTATTATATAAAGTTAAAATCTTACATTGATATTACTTTGCTTTAAAAAGTGAGTTTCAAGTTTGGTAATATAGAATTAAGAAACGAGTTTCGAGATTTGAGATTGTATACAATATTATTTGACATATATTAGATTTTCTTGGTTTGAATGGGGTATTATAAAATTACGCATTTAAACATTTGGTAATTACTTTATTAAACTCGTTTACTTCCTACTTGAAGTAATTATACACAAATCAAAAACTATAGCCCAGATGTAGCAAGCAAAATGATCAAAGCTTTCGAACGTTCTAACTAAGGTTATACCTCTTTTAAATCCCCATCTTTAATATCCCAACTTCAGATATATCCCACCTGCTGCGAAGTGGGACGGATTTCTCTATTATAAATTGACTTCAATTGTATCTCCGTCATATATAACCCTATTCCCAATATTTTGCCGTCCCAAATTATCATATCATGTAGTAATCTATTAATATCATTCCTCCGTTATTTACTATTACCATTACTGTATACGGTACTATCGTTACACCAATCATATGTCTCTAATTTACTATATGACGGCTGATCTATGAAAATGGGTAGTTGGTGATTTGGGGTCGAAATTGATATTTGGTGTGGGATATATACTTGGAGATGCTACCTACCCTGTGCCGTTTTCCTGATCTCAAGTGTAATAGTAAAGTTTTTCACAACAGCGGTTAGAAGTTCGGTAGCACGATGCAAGCGAGGTCACCGAAATCTCAAATCCGTATCCTAAAATCCTTGTCGATCATCACAACAATAATTGGGTCGCTTAGATTTGGGGGTGATATGTGAAATGGGGATGATTACCATAAAATGGCCCAATTTCTTTGAGGATGATTTCCCGACGATCATCTATTTTTGCGAATGCACCATAGTCGTCATATATGATACTAATATTACACAAATTGTCTGTTATTACGTTCTGTGCAAAATTTGTTAAGAATTTTATTAATAAAAATATCAAACTGTGCTGAAAAGCAATCAGGTCATAAACGCACCACTTTTAGCAAATCAGATGACAATTAAGCCAACATCATAGTTTCCTGCTACTAAAAATTTTTTCTTATCGAATTAATTACCACTTGAAAATAAAATAGACATTATCATTATTAAGAGAAAAGAAACTGTTCGACATTCTTCGAAAAAAATTTCTTACAATTGCATACAGACGCATGATATTCAGATTTGAAGAAAGCACGTATTTGTGTAGCCAAGTTTTCTTCTTTACGCAGTAGGAATGTTACCGTTTCCCAAGACATATTAAGAACCAAGACAATTAAATTTTATAATAGAGCAGTAGAGAATGGAGCACAACTCTCTCCTTTGAGGCATCAAATGGATGGTAGCAAGTGCATAACAGGTGAAAGCGAATCAGCACTTTTTGATCAAGTGAAAGACGGTGAGAAACGTTTACAAGATATAACAGCAACATTTAACCTGGAAAATGTTTAAAACGCCGATAAAACTGGTAAAGCAAAGACGTAAGGAAAGACAAGAACGTGTCGCGGTTCTACTTTGTTGTAATGCAACGGAAACGAAGAAACTTAAACCTTTTGTGATTGGCAGATTTAAAAATTCTCGTTGTTTTAAAAATGTTAACTTGGCTACACTGCCTGTCCACTACACCAATAATAGAAAACGCTTAGATGACTATGGAAAAATAGAATGAATGGTTGAAATGGTTAGACACTAACGTATCTCAGAAATCGCTTCTGCTTGTTGATAACTGTCCCGTGCATACGGATAATTTTTCGCTCAATTTAAAAAGCCTGCGCATAAATATATTCCTCCAAATATCACATCACACATACAACTTTGCGACGCAATTTTAAAGTTTACTATCGAGATCTTTTAGTGTCCAAATTGGTTTACTAATTAAACGAAGAGCAAGCGATAAACATCAAAAGTAATAGAACTTATTGCATATGCTTGGGAAAAGTCTATAAAAATTGTTGGCAAAATACAGACATTTACTTGCGGAACGATGAAAATAAAATTAATATGGATGAAGCGGATGATTGTTTGAAAGACTTCCTTCAATAAGTATAACAGCGGGTGAGTACCTTGAAGTCGATAACAGCTTGGTTAGTACAAAGAATAATAAATGACTCAAACGTTATTATACTGACGATTATATTGTGCGATCGATCTATATAAATTACTGGTACTAAGTAGTTTAACGTAGCAAGTGTCATATCATAATAAACGTTGGGTAACCTGCTCCCGCTTATTAATTGACAGTTATATAAGCAGAGAAGTATATTCCAAATACACAGTCTCCTGTATGTAGCTTTCTAGCAATAGTACTCCCATGGGGCGACGAAGATAAACACGAGAGCAGAAAGACTTAGAGATATCTCAGCGCATATAAAGCTGTATTGCAGTTTTTCTAAAAATTCCTTGAAGGGACGTTTTGCTAACAAAGCCTTTATACAGTTTAGATTTTTTTCATCAGCTTGATAAAGATTTTACTGATCAAGCGCTAGGTGTAACCAAACTTAAATTACATTAATATATTAATATTGCAATCTGTATCTGTGTGCCAAAACATAACCTTAAAAATTGCGTAATATTAATCGAAGTTTTGTTGGTACCCTGTTATCTACTAATATTGAATAATTACCAATAATGTTTACTGTGTCACATTATATTTGACAAACGTGACATTACTTTTCCAATTCTTAATTAAAAAAAAACTCGCTGGCCGCGCGCACGTACTAGTACATGTAACGGGCGAAAATAACGAGAATATAAGTTTCAACAATATTGACAGTGCAGAATACAAAAAGATTGGTAATGATATATTTGAGAATTATCTCAAATTTTTTGGATAAAAAGATTGTGCATTTTATATATTCGCAAGTTTGTGAAAACACAAATCAAAATTTGGCGTTCAAAATTTCTACAAGAATATCCACAGCGGTATACATGTCGGTACATAAACAAGAAAACTATTGAAAGGGCCGGTTAGGTGAGACTAAGTCTATCCAATACACAACAGTATTATCATTGGGTGGAGAGGATAAACACCGAAAGCAGAAAAGTTTCACCACACTATAACGCCGCCGGAGAGAACTTAATTAACAATACTTACTGCGCAAATAATTATGACTTGGAAATTATGTCTTACAATTTCCCCAACAAAACTTTGAAGAGTTTTTTGCTGCAAGGTTTTATACAATTTGAAAATTGTCCCCCCCAATTTATCACCGATCGAGCCAAGGTATAATCAAACTTTAAAATGACAGAGTGCAATCCGCATTTCTATGTGTCTTTTGAATTGAACATAAAATGCCACGAAAGCATCTTAAAATATTACGTCATGATTAATCGAAGTTTTGTCGGTACTCATTAATATAATATGAATGATTACCAATAACGTAACTGCACTGTGTCACACACGTTACCTTCCAACTCCTTAATATTAAAAGAAAACTGAGAAAAACCGTACAAAAATATTTCATTATAATTCAACATGCAGAGAATGAATAGACCCCCTTCTTTAAAAATGTTTGACTTCTCAGACACCGATTCGGGCATATCACATGAGAGCACTGAAGATGAAATAGAAATCAACACTCCAACGTATCCATTATCCATAATGGACCCTATTGAGGCTGCTATGAAACCGGAAAATATGCTAGACAAGTTTGTAGAAGTTGGCGGAAGACGTTACTTCAACGACGTTACAGTAAAAGGTTACTACTATCTGCCCAGTGACCAGAAAGAAGTAGAAAGAACGTACGTCCGAAATCACCTAGACAAAATTATATGGAAAGGCAACTACTCTGCCCCCGTTTTCGATAGTCTATCATTAGGAGCAAGCGTTCTTGACGTTGGGTAAATACATTGATCGTAAGTTTGATAAGCAAAGGTACAAACATTCTGGACTACCCCGTATTAATTTCTATATATTTAATCAGTTGTGGTGCAGGAGCATGGATAGTAAATATGGCGTTAGAGTACCCTGCTTCAGTATTTGTCGGAATAGACATCGTTCCTTTGTTCCCTGAAGACTATCCACCAAATATGACGTTTCTTAAATGTAATATCCTGAATGGTCTACCGTTTCCAGATAACACATTTGATTTTGTTCGACAAGCGTTTGTCATAGTTTGTATTGATTGGCAATCATGGAAAGAGAAAGTGGTGAAAGAACTAATAAGAGTAACTAAGCCCGGAGGATATATCGAAATTATGGATAAGGATTGTGAAACTATAAATCAGGGAATAATATGCCGAAAGATTGACGACTGTTGTAAGTTTTTGGTAAATTGTATACTATACGTTTTGAGTGTCGCTAACCCTGACCATCTCTTCCTTTTTTGCATAAAACTAAAGTGTTGGAACATTTTCGTAAGGCCGGAATTAACCTAGCGTCAGGTACAGACGTAATAAAAACGTTTACTGAGTTCAAGAATAAAGTGACTATAGCACCCATAGAAGTAAGAACATACCATTTGGGGAAGAAAGCAGGTAGAATAGGTAAGTGGCAAGTATAGCAAACAAAATGTATGATGCTTAAGAAATTGCTCATACTTAATGTTCATAATTAATTAATGCTATTTTGTTTAGACATTGAAATGTATGGTGGACGCGTATAGAGCAATGAAAAATATTTTTCTTCATATTATGAAAATTACAGAAGAAGAGTTCGAACAGATGGTAGTTGATTTTGAGAAGAAATGTAATAAAGTCACGCTCTGCAGAACACGATACCGTGCCATTATTCAAAAGCGTTTCGTTGTGTACGACAGTTGACTTCGGTTTTATTAGCATGTTTGCTAAATACGACACCTTTTTCTGGTTATTATGGTCTTAAGTAATTACTAACTTTTTGAACCATTTGTAAAATTGTACAATAAATTTATATTGGGCTACAGCCCGTGCATGTAATTTTTTTAGAAATAATAATTTGAATTTGAAGGCTTTTTTATCGATGGTTTGAATAACAGTGTACTGTTTCTTTGAAAAAAGCCAACATTTTAAAAATTTGGACATTCTCACATTTACTAAATTTTATTTGTTAATAGTTATGAGACTCTACTCGCTATGGTTGTCATCAGGTAGAGAAGTAATATAATATTTAAAAAAAATTGGCAACAGAGCATTGCACTTGCGATAAGTAAAATAATAAAGTACAAGCATCTGACTATGCTTTAACAAACTTTGTTAAGACAATTGGATAATGATAGCTTTTTCAGATAAATTTTTTATTGAACACATGTTGTACCTCAGTTCGGGACCTGTCTCAGTTCTGGACTGAGTCATCTCAGTTGGGGACCTGCCTTGGTCCAGAACTGAGTCGACTCAGTCCAGAACTGAGACAGGTCCCGAACTGAGGTACAACAATCCCAAACTATACTGTATTTTATATGATTTTCGACCTATTATTATTATAGTTTACATTATTTGTTACCATCCATGATTATAACTCGCATTATGGTTCAGTCAAGATTAATCGCATAATGTTTAGTCACACGAGCGATATGATTACTCGCGACCGCTTACGTTACGGTCACTCTGTTATGATTACTATAGGGTATGCACTGCAAAATGTAATAAATGCTCTCATGGTTCTGTATAATTATCAATAAAGCTCTTAAACGGGTTTGCGAAACTTCAAATATCTGCCATCACATATATACCACATATTTGTATTCCACAAAATGAGCAAACAAACAAGAAAAAGTTATCTTGTCAGCATCAAACTTTAAGCGATGATTACGCAAAATGTGTACGAAATAAAGCAGCATCACGGATATTCGGTGTTACTTACAGTACACCCAGATATCGCATGGGGAAAGAAAAAGAACATTTAAAAGTCTTATATGAGAAATAGACGAGTTGGCCCTGGTAACAACTGGCATACTCGTTAGCGGAAAATGGTTTGAAAGAATTTGAACCGTCAGCTTACGCAATATCGGATTAGGCGTCACCACCCATCAAATAGAGAAATTACCAATAATACAGCAGAAAGTACTGATTTCTGCAATTTATTAAAAATGTTCGTACAGAAAACAAATTCTGATCCTAGCTGCATTATCAACATCGATATCGATGAGATGCCTGAGGTGAGTGATTGGGAAAATGATTTTGTTCTTACGAACAAATGCAATTTTGACCCGAAATTTAAACTCTTGTGGACATAGTGTCGAAATAACATTGTGGTTTCAGAGAAGTAAATATCATGTAATTAATAAGAAAAAATTATTTAATACGAAACCTCAGATATTAGTCGTATTTACGTATGTCTCCCAGTGGCTTGTACATGACTTAGTATGCTTCTATTTAATTATAAAACCTTTACGTGTTAGTCGAAATGGACGGGACAGAGAATAGTGTGGTTTTTGATTATGGATTGTTAAATGAGAATAAGGAGCGTATGAGTTCAACAATATGACGGTGCAGAATACGAAGAGATTTGAGATAATAATACTTGGAAATTTTCTTGGTGCATATTATATACTTGCAAGTTTGTTCGTCCATTTAATGTTACTTTGATCTTGAATTTTAATTGGCCTCTCAATTGCACGTGAGATCAAATATGTAAAACCCGGTGAAAATTTGGCATTCAAAAAAATTGCTGCAGGGGGTATCTGTCGGAGGCATGCAGTACATAAACAAGACGGCTTTCAAAAGGGTTGTGGTAACAGTAAATTTGTCCTAAATACACAACTGTATTTTCGTTGGGTGGAGAGGATAAACATGAAAGCAGGGAAGTTTCACCACGCCATAATGCTGTAAGACAAAGTACTTGAAAACTTAATTAGCGATTTGGCATACGCAAATAATCATGACTTGGATATTTCCCAGCACATATAACGGCTGTATTGTAATATCCCTAACGGCTCTTTGAAGAGTTTCTGCTATGCAATTTTCATCAACTTATCGCCGATCAAGCCGAGGTATAGTCAAACGTAAACGACATATACTGTATGTAATCTGCATGTCTGTGTGTCCCTTGAATTGAATACAAATGCCACAATAGCATCTTAAAACATTATGTAATGATTAATCGAAGTTTTGTTGGTACTCTGTTATTCATTAATATAAATAATTACCAATAACGTTAACCATGTTGTGTCACACACATTATCTTTGAACTCCATAAAAGAAACTCGCTGGTTGAGAAGGTCCGTGCACACACATTCGCTATCATTCAAAATGCAGAGAACGAATAGACCCCCTTCCTTAAAAATGTTCGATTTCTCAGACACCGATTCGGGCATATCATATGAGAGCACTGAAGATGAAATAGAAATCAACACTCCAACTTATTCATTATCCATAACGGATCCAATCGAGGCTGTTATGAAACCAGAAAATATACTAGAAAATTTTGTAGAAGTTGGCGGAAGACGTTACCTCAACGACGTTACGGTAAAAAATTACTACTACCTGCCCAGTGACCAGAAAGAAGTAGAAAGAACTTACGACCGAAATCACATAGACAAAATTATATGGGGAGGTAACTACTCTGCTCCCGTTTCTGATAAGTTATCATTAGGAGCAAGCGTTCTTGACGTTGGGTAAATACATTAATTGCAACTAAATTTGAAGTTTTGTCAGCGAGATATATATACAAGTTTCAATGTTCTGATCGACCTATTATAATAACTGCACAGTTGTGGTGCTGGAGCATGGATAACAAATATGGCGTCGGAATACCCTGTTTCAGTATTTGTTGGAATAGACATCGCTCCTTTATTCCCTGAAAATTATCCACCAAATGCGGCATTTATTAAATGTAATATCCTGGATGGTCTACCATTTCCAGATAACACATTTGATTTTGTTCGACAAGCATTTGTTATAATTTGTATGAATTGGCAATTATGGAAAGAGAAAGTGGTGGAAGAACTAATAAGAGTAACTAAACCCGGAGGATATATCGAAATTATGGATACAAATGGTGCATTTATAAATCCGGGAATAGTAAGCAAAAAAATTAACAACTTTTGTAAGTATCTGATGAATTGTATGCTATGCGCTTTTGGACGTGTAGCTAACTACAGTTGCTTTTCCCTCATTATTAAAATTGTAGTAGGGGAACGTTTTTATAAAGCCGGAATCAATCGAGCGTCCGGTACAGATGTAATAGAAACATTTAATGAGTTCAAGGATAAAGTAATTGTAGCTCCCATAGAACTAAGAACACTCTATTATGGGAAGAAAGCAGGTAGAGTAGGCGAAGCGGTAAGTAAATGAAATATATAATGTTTAGGAAAAATACTCATAATATATGCTTATAATTAACTAATACTTCTGTTATTTAGTTATTGAAAATTATTTTGGGGGCATACAGAGCGATGAAAATTATTTTTATTCATATTATGAGAATTACAGAAGAAGAATTCGAACAGATGTTAATTGATTTTGAGAAGGAATGTAATGAAATTATGCTCAGTAAAACACGATACCGTGCCATAATTCAAAAGCGTAGCGGTTGACGTTGTTTAGTGGACTTTCAAAAAATTTTGTAATAACCGCTTATTTTAATGTGCTGAATACGTTTTTTATCTTTGTTGCCCGTAATCACTAATTTGTAAAATCGTATAATAAATTTATATTGTATTACGGTCTGTATATTTAAAGCCATTTAACTGATGGTGTTGCTGCTGCTGCTGTTGTTGTTGCTTTACAAAGACAATACCTCCAACGTTCTTGAAACCTTTGGACGCACTCTCGTGGAGGGGAAATTTCAATAATGGCTCAAAGTGTTTGACGCACACCGATAATGCACCAAGTCATAATATTAGCAAGTTGAATCCTCACAATTCTTCAGTTCACTAAATAAACCTCCCCAATATGATAATGTTCTTAAGTGTCACTGCTGAAGCTATTTTGTGAAATGGCCGCTGAATCAATAAAATCTGGTATCAAATATAGGAAAATAATAGTGTCAACTGACACCCTTCATTATTCTAGCATGGGGAGGACGTAACGCAAAAATATCAAACTACTTTCGCCATACGGAAAATTTTCCAAGATAATAACGATAATCGTGATGATAACATGCAGTAACAATAATGGTAACGATTGCTGTATGCAGAAATGAGATGCCATTTACAGAATGGGATTTACAGATCACGTGAAATTGAAGACGTCAGAAATGTAATAGAAGACGCATTTTTGGAAAACGTAGAAGAGAAGGATACATTGGGCAAGGCTGCAAAATGCTTGAAAATGCTTTTCAAACCAAACAAATATTACGAGCTTTCTACAATAATAATTTTCAAAAAACTTTTTTTAGTGAAATAATTTGAATAAACGTTTTTTCCTCCAGCTTGGATATTCGTTTCGATAACACTTGTCAATGGCGGTCGTAAATAGTATATTATGCAGAGAAATCACATGAAACAAAATGATTGGCGTTTTTAAATGCACCGATTTCCATAAATGCAAGGCCCGAAGTGCATTTAGAGCGAGTTCAACTATACTTGAAATTACCATTAACATTCTGTACACCGGAAGGTTAAAAAGAAAGACCATTTTCGTCAACAAAATTATGCGCTTGTTGAACGGTATTTTTTTTTTAATATTAATATTACGGGGGTAGTTAAAACGTGTAACAAATAAATTTCGTTACACGATCTAAGTTATTTCATTGAGATACCAAATTTGAAATAGGGAAATCCCGCATATATTAATAAACGAATAACCGTTGCCAACAATATTCCTGTGCAAGTTTCGCATATTGTAACAATAAAGAAATTTGGACTGTCATACGTTCTATAAATATCAACTATCACCCAATCCATGTCGATATCTTCATGTGAGCTCCATTTCCTCGCAGAGAGGGGTTTCTTATTAAAAACTGTACTCAGAACTTGTGTGAACTATAGCGTTATGTGATCAAACGTTGACGGCATACGCATTGACACAAACTTTGTAATCTTTCGATAAAAATTTCACTTACACATTTTATGACTTGCGAACAAAATGGAAAGGTAGAAATAAATAGTAAAGAAATATTCGACTATTCATTAACAGTATCAACCTAATTTGACGCATGTTAAGTAAAAGATAATGCCTTAGTATTTAGCAAGATCGACCTTTATCCCATCAGACCAGTCGCTTAGTTCTCATTAGATAAGCGTTTTTGAATGTGATAGTACGTACAATACAAGTTTAACGTCCTTGCGCATTTTTCCTCGTCTTTTATCATTCACACAATATACTCGGTCTTTATACATCACATATATGATAAAGGACGAAAAGCAGGGGGTTTCCGTATTAGTATATGCGATATTGTCAGTGTAACCTGCCCTCCCACTTATTATTATTATTTGACAGTTACATAAACTGACAAACTTTCGAAAGAGCTTACGTTTGGATTTGTTCCGAAGAATACAAATTCTGTAGTAGCAATAGTACTCTCATTGAGTAGAGAGAGTAACGATAATGTTGTATTTTGACCAGTGTCACATTATTGTTGATGAACTTTTTTTTGAATTCAACATAAAATGCCACGCACGGCAATAAGACATTACGTAATGATTAATCGAGTGGCACTCTCTCTTAATAAACAATTACCAATAATTTCATTCTATAGTACCACGTGATAATGTGACCTCAATTTAACTCCTTAAAAGAACCCGGAGGTCTGTGTACATTTCACTATCATTCAACATGCAGAGAATGAATAGACCCCCTTCTTTAAAAATGGTTGACTTCTCAGACACCGATTCGGGCATATCATATGAGAGCACTGAAGATGAAATAGAAATCAACACTCCAACGTATTCGCTATCCATAATGGATCCAATTGAGGCTGCTATGAAACCAGAAAATATGCTAGAACAGTTTGTAGAAATTGGCGGAAGACGCTACTT